ACAATTTAGATTAATGGACAAATTTCTGAAAAAGTACAAACTACCACAATTCACCTAACATGAAATAGGTAATTTAAGTAATTATAACTCTTAAGAAAATTGAATTCATAATTTAAAATGACTGAAAAAAAAAATCTCTTGGCCCAGATGGTTTTACTGGAGAATTTTTTTTTTTTTTTTTTTTTTTTTGAGATGAACTCTCGTTCTGTTGCCCAGGCTGGAGTGCAGTGGTGTGATCCTGGCTCACTACAACCTCCGCCTCCCAAGTTCAAGCGATTCTCCTGCCTCAGCCTCCTGAGTAGCTGGGATTATAGGCATGCGCTACCCTGCCCAGCTGATTTTTGTATTTTTAGTGGAGAGGGGGTTTCACCATGTTGGCCAGGCAGGTCTCAAACTCCTGACCTCAAGTGATCCATCTGCCTTAGCCTCCCAAAGTGCTGGGATCACAGGTGTTGAGTCACCCTGCTGGGCCTTACTGCAGAATTCTACCAAATGTTTAAAGAAAAATTAAAGTTGATTTTACATAATCTCTTCCAGAAAACAGGAGACTAGAGAATGCTAGCAAATTTATTTTATGTAGGCAGTATTGTCCCGATACTGAAACCAGATAAAGACAATATGAGAAAAGAAAACTACATATCAATATCTCTTATGAATTTGAATGCAAAAATATTCAATAAAATATTAACAAACCAAACACATTTGAAATGTATTTTTTGAATTATAAATTATGGCCAAATAGGAGTTGCTCTAGTTATGCAAAGCTGATTCAATATGTCAACAGACAAAAGAAGAAATACAATCTTTTAATACCAATTGACACAGAAAAGACATTTGACAAAAATCCAATGTCCTTTCAAAATAAAACCTGTCAGCCAACCAGGAATAAAAGGGAACTACCTCAACATAACGTGGGAAAAAAGAATGAATGCTTTTCCCCTAAGACAGGAAGCAAGGCAAGGATGTCTGCCCTCATCACTCTAGTTCAACCTAGTACTGAAAATGTAGGTATTGCAGTAAAGCAAGAAAAATAAATTAACTCCATACAGATTGACAAGGAAGAAATAAAGCTGACTCTACTTGCAGATGACATGATTTCCCATATAGAAAATCTCAAGGAATCTAAAAAAAATTAAGTTCAAAAAAGTAAGAGAATATAAGATTAGTATGGAACAGTTAATTACATTTCTATATTCTAACAACAAACATATGTAAACAGAAATTTAAAGCACAACAGCACTTACAATCAATCAAGAAACTAAATAAATGCCTAAGCATACTTATAAAACATATAATCGCTGGATGCTAAAAATTACAAAATGCTGAGGCAAGAAATCAAAGATCCAAATAAATGGAAAGAGATCTCATGTTCATGGATTGGAAGACTCAAAATAGTAAAACACCAATTTTCCCTACATTGAGCTATTATGTTTAATGTCACGCCCATAAAAATTCTAGCAAGACGTTTGTAGACATTTGTAGACATAAACAAATTTATTATAACATTTATACAGAATGAGGAAAGTTGCAGACTTACTTAAAGAATCTTGAAAAAGAAGAATAAAGCAGGAGGAATAAGTCAACCCTGCTATACAGGTACTATGTTCAAGTCAGGGTGATATTGGTGGAGGGATACAAATTAATGAAACAGATAAAGAATGCAGAAACAGACCCACCACACAAGTAAGTTCAACCAATTTTTAACACTATTTAAAATGTAATCAATGCAGGAAGGAAAGCCTTTTCAACAAATGGTTCTGGAGCAACTGAACATTCATAGTCAGAGAGAGTGAGAGAGAAGCAACTCTCACAGCTTATATAAAGTGTGTCCCAAAATAGGGCATGGAATTAAAAGTAAAAGGTAAAACTATAAAACTTTTAGGAAAAAATTTCAAAAATCTTTGGAATTGGAATTTCGGGTTAGGTAAAGAATTTTTAGAATTGACATGATGTGTACAATCCGTAAAAGGAAAACATGATAAACTGAATCTCATCAAAATTAAAACTTTTGAAAAAATATTTGCAAATCACATATCCAACACAGGGCTAGTATCTAGAATATATAAAGAACTGAAAATTCAACAGTAACAAAACAAACAAATCCAAACGATTCAATTAGAAAACGGAACAACAACAAAAACACATTCACAGACATCTATCTCACTGAAAAGGATATACATATGGCAAATAAGCATATAAAACATGCTCAATATTATTAGACATCAGGGAGACACAAATTAAAACCACAATAAAGATATTACTACACACTTATCAGAATAGCTAAAATAAAAAATGGTCGTAACACCAAATGCTGATGAGGATGTGGAGGAAATGAAATCCTCATACACTGTTGGTGGGAATGGTACAAGCATTCTAGAAGACAATTTGGTAGCTTTTTATAAAGCTAAGTATGCAATTACCATATGACCCACCAATTGCACTTTGGGGCATTAATTCCAGAGAAATGAAAACTTATGTTCACACAAACCTGTACACAATGTTCATAAAAACTTTATTCATAATAGCCCCAAACTGTAAACAAACAACCCAGATGCCCTTCAATGAGTGAATAAACTCTGGTATATCCATGCCACCGATTACTAATCAGCAATGAAAAGGAACAAATTACTGATATACACAATTATGCAAATGAATCTACAAGAGATTACATAGAATGAAAAAAATCACAAAGAGTACATACTATATAATTTCGTTTACATAACATTCTTGAAATTTAAAAAAATCCATAGAAATGAAGAACACATTAGTGGTTATTAACAAGCAATAGGAGGAATTCTTTTTTTTTGAGACGGATTCTCGCTCTGTCACCCAGGCTGGAGTGCAGTGGTGGGATCTCGGCTCACTGCAAGCTCCACCTCCCGGGTTCACAGCATTCTCCTGCCTCAGCCTCCCAAGTAGCTTGCACTACAGGCGCCACCACCACGCCTGGCTAATTTTTTGTATTTTTAGTAGAGACAGGGTTTCCACCGTGTTAGCCAGGATGATCTTGATCTCCTGACCTCGTGATCCACCCGCCTCGGTCTCCCAAAGTGCTAGGATTACAGGCTTGAGCCACCGCGCCCGGCCAGTAGGAGGAATTCTTGTGCTGATGGAAATACTGTGTATCTTGACTGTATGGATGTCAAGATTCTGGCTCTGATATTGCACTACACTATACTTCTACAAGATGTCACCTTGGGGTGGGGGAACTGCTTAACGGTTACTTGGGTTCTCTCTTTTACTTCTCACAAGTGTATGTAAATCTACAATTATCTCAAAAAAAATTTTTTTTAAATATATTATCTTTTCAAAAGAGGAGAAATAGGGAAATTACCACTGACGGGAGTAGAATATTCCATTTCTTGTGTTATTTTAGCCCCTAGCCCAGTAGTTTCCAAAAGATTACCTGACGATTTTTTTAAAACAATGCCAAATCCAAGGCTATACTTCATTCAATAACAACGAACTAACAAACAATTAAGTTTTGGAATGCCAACTTTAAAAAACTGGAGAACTGGGAAGGAGAGTTTCTTACTTACTGAACTTATGTAAGCTATCTCATTTATAAAAGAAACCCCATGAGATCAGTACTACAGGATCCATTTCATCAAAGAGGAAACAGAGTCTGAGAAAGATTAAGGAATGGCCAAAATTTCCATAGCTGCTAAGTGACAGACTTAGCATTTGAACTTCAAACTTGGAATGCAACGAGACCTTTGCTCTTTCTACTAGACCAAATTGGCTGGCAGGCATCCAAAAGAGAGAGGGATCACCCTGGGAAGGGACCCCGTTGCGGATTGCACAGGTCTAGCACAGTGGGTAAGATTTAAGAGTGTGAGGGCCGGGCGTGGTGGCTCACGCCTGTAATCCCAGCACTTTTGGAGGCTGAGGCAGGCGGATCACCTGAGGTCAGGAGTTCAAGAACAGCCTGACCAACAAGGTGAAACCCCGTCTCTACTAAAAATACAAACATTAGCCGGGCGTGGAGGCACACGCCTGTATTCCCAGCTATTACGGAGGCTGAGGTAGGAGAATGGCTTGAATCCAGGATGGGGGCGGGGGGCGTTGCAGGGAGCAAAGATCGTGACACTGCACTTCAGCCTGGGCGACAGAGAGGCGAATCCAGGCAGAGGAAATGGTCTGGCATATTCCAGGGGCTGACTGGCCAGGACGGATTAGGGAAGGCAATGCAGGTATGGGTTAGTGGATCAGCGCAAACCAGCTTCATATGACACTCATACACCACTTTCAACTTAACAAAAGATTTTGTATTGAAAATTTAAGAGTGAAATTAAAGTGGCTTTATTATGCTACCGACATACACTGTTTTTGTTTGTTTTTTTAAGACAAGGTGTTGCTCTGCTGCCCAAGCTGGAGGGCAGTGAAGCAATCACAGCTCACTGCAGTTTCCAAAAGATTACTTCCATTTATGAAGATTAAGGTATACATTTCTCAAGACATAATTTCAAAAAAATGAGACACCCACTGAAAACAGTTTTTAATAACACTAGTAATTACTTCACCCTAGACCACAGTGAGAGTAGCGGGGCTGAGGAAAGGCATACTCAGATAATCTAAAGGGAGGAAACAAACGTTCCAGGTAGATTCAGAGGAAGACTCTGAGAAGAGTAAGAAGGTTACTGGTTCCCACTGGTCTTCATGAAGAACTCTGCTATACCCAACCTGCCCTACAGCCATTATCCCCTCAGTGTGAATGCAAAGCTAAGTCATAAGTTATTAGCAAAACTTCCCTGAATTACAAAAGGCCAAGTCACTCACTAATCCCGCACATGAACGCTGAACGTCTCTCAGCGGTCAAGAAGGCGCTCAATTGCTCTTTTGCCCAATCAAGAGCGGGAAGAGAAGGAGCGAGCGGTCAGGCCTTTGAACTACGCGCCACGGGAGTGACCCTGGCCTTTTCTCCCTGGAAAGGCATCTCGCAGCCCGAGCGCCGCGCCCCGGCCCCATGTGCCCCCGTAGCCTCCAGCCGGGGCGCTTACCTCGTGAGTCCGGGCGCCGCGCGGTCCCGCAGCGCAGAGCCAGCCGCTGCTCGCAGTGCTCCGCCAGGCTCACCGCGGCCCGCAGCTGCCCCGCGCCCGCCGCGTACGCGAAGGACACAGCCGAGCGCGGGCGCCCGCTGGGGGCACCTCGGACGGTCACCGCGTCGGGGCCGCCGTGCCGCACCACGGTCCACGCGGCGTCTGCTGAGCAGAAACAGGCAAAGGAGAGGCATCACTGGGCGCAGAGGCCAGCAGCAAGGGGCAAAGCAGACGCGTCTTTTATGTGCATACACTTTTAATTGAAATTTGCATTACTGCATGTTTGCCCCGATTTGAGGAGTTGGACCTGTGTAACAATGTACTGAGCCAGAACTCAGCCCCTAAGAAAAAGCATATGGGGAGAACTGATGGCCAAACTTTTGTGACGTCATGCCTAGAAGTGTATCATGTAAGCAATGACTCTTTAGTTGTTAAAACCATTTTTTACATCAACACAAGCATGGGGCCAAACTGTCTGGATCTTTATCTTTCTAAACTCATCTGCATTTTCCTCATCTGTATGTGCCTCTATTTCTTTCATTATCAAATAAATTTATAAAAGATACATATTGGGACGATGTGACGCACATACTCACGGGTATAATAGGAAGCAGCTCTATTAAAATAAAGTGGTTTAATTGTGTCAGCTTCTCCATCAGTGACCAAGCCCAGAGGAATCAGAGGCCTTGAGCTTCTAACAGCACTTTCCAGGCGGTGACTCTGGGCATCTGACTGCCCGCTGACATCATTTCTGATGTATCTCTGTCACTTGATTACTTATATTGTTTTGATGAAATAAAAACAGAACGACTCCACATCTCATAAGGGAAGAAGTGCATCTTGAGTTCTTCAGTGTTCCCAACAATGGACCTCCCACCAGACTCGAAGTCACTTTAATCCTATGCTGGTGCTGTCCGGTCCTTTAACCTCTAGTAAGATGTATTTAGAATAATGGACATTTTACATAAAAATTTTCCAAACTGGAGAGACTACAAAAGATTCATATGAGGATTTTTTTAAGAACTACGAAACAAAACAATGTAATATATTTTACCTTGATAAATCACCCTTCCAGCCCTTCACATCTCAGGATGTTTAATAGCTTGGCTGCTAACCGTGCATAAGACAAATTTCACAGCCTTACTGTTACTTTACACACGCCTAACAATAACAACAACAGAGATCAGAGGAACGGACAAGAAAACCAGCCACGCTACTGAAATATCTCTTTCGTCACAAAACCCATGGAGAGCAAAGGTGTGATATGTACAAATGAGCCACAAGTTCAGAAAAAATCTGCAAATTTAAATAATGAATGCAATTTTCAATTAAATTATCACTCCGCTCACTGTACTCACCAAAGGAGGCTCTATGGTAATTTCAGTTCCATGGGTTCTTCCTTTAATATTGCTCTATTTTTTTATTTTAAAATTTTTATTTTTATTTATTTTTGAGACAGAGTCTCACTCTATCGCCCAGGCTGGAGTGCAGTAGTGCTGTCTCGGCTCACTGCAACCTCCACTTCCTGGGTTCAAGCAGTTCTCCTGTCTCAGCCTCCCACGTAGCTGGGACTACAGGCACACACCACCACACTGGGCTAATTTTTATATTTTTTTAGTAGAGATGGAGTTTCACCATGTTGAAACTGTTGGCCAAGCTGGTCTTGAAATCCCTACCTCAGGTGATCCACCTGCCTCAGCCTCCCAAAGTGCTGGGATTACAGGTGTGAGCCACTGCGCCCGGCCTCATTTTAGAATTTTTACAATCTAGTGTTACTCTGTGCACATCACCTACTCTCACCTTCAGAGTTTTCCTATCAACTGAATCAAATATAGAAAAACCTATGGAATACTAAGTTGGGCATTGAAGATGATCAATCACATGCCATTTTTGGCCATGTGTTCATGATCTGTTGTACAGTGGGAGAGAAATGATGGTCCGGAGTAGTTCACATAGGCTGGTGGGCAGTATGATAGATTTGCAGTCACAAATGGTTAAGATGTAGTCATAGAAGTGTCCTCAGTACTGAGAAGGGAACTGTTGAGAATACATCTGTAAAACTGTTTTTCTGAAGAGCAGAATAGTAACCAGGGACATTATAGAATATGCATTTGTGTTTATAAAATTCCACTTGACTCACTTCTCCTTATAATATCAATAGTAAAAGACCCAAAGAAGGACACAGACCATTGCCGTTCCCCTAATTGCTCACAACTTATTTCAATAGATTATAAGCATATTAGAACTGGAAAGACCTCAAAGAGCATCTAATATAACCCCTATATTTTTCTTTTTCTTTTTTATTAGAGATAGAGTCTCCCTCTGTTGCCCAGCCTGGAGTACAGTGGCACCTTCACAGTTTACTGCAGCCTCGACCTCCAGGGATCAAGTGAATTGGACCTGAGTAGATTAATTATAACAGTGGCTAAATGCGGAAAGGGGTTCAGAGGTGTGGTTGAGTCAGAACACACTGGAGGCTGTCTCATTGGCCCAGGAGGAGGGTAACTGCAATAGGTTGATCCCTGTTCCACTCCTGTTGCTCAAATAAATATCTGACTTTGAAAATTAAGCTAATTTAACTTCATGATTTTGATTGGAATTAGCAGTACAGATGTTTCTCAATTTATAATGAAGTTGCATCTGGATAAACTTATTATAAATTAAAAATGCATTTTAATACATGTGACCTACTGAACCTAGCTCAACCTGGCCTAACCTAAATGTGCTCAGAACACTTAAATCGGCCTACAGTTGGGCCAAATCATTTAACACAATGTCTATTTTATAATAAAGTGTTGAATATCTCATTTATTCACTACTGTACTGAGAGTAAAAAAATATATATATAAAATAATAATGGTTGTGGCCAGGCGTGGTGGCTCATGCCTGTAATCCCAGCACTTTGGGAGACCGAGGCAGGTGGATTACGAGGTCAGGAGATCAAGACCATCCTGGCTAACATGGTGAAACACCATCTCTACTAAAAAGACTAAAAATTAGCCGAGCATGGTGACAAGTGCCTGTAGTCCCAGCTACCAGGGAGGCCGAGGCAGGAGAATC